TCTCTCTCTCTCTCTCTCTCTCTCTCTCTCTCTCTCTCTCTGTGTGTGTGTGTGTGTGTGCCTGGAACTTTCAGATGGGATGTGAACTCTCAGCTCTTCCTCTAACGCCATACCTACCTGTCTGCCATCACACTCCCCAACCATAATGGCCATGGACTCACCCTGAAACTGTAAGTCAGCCCCCAGTTAAATGCTTTCTTTTCCAAGTTGCTTTGGTCATGGTGTCTCCTCACAGCAGTGAAAGAGTAACTAAGACATTTATTAAAAACAAATATCCCCAGGCCTCATCTTACTCCATCACCACTTCACCTCACTCTCCTACCAACAACCTCCTCCATTGCACTTTCCCAAAGAAAGCCTGGGATCTGTACTTGAGCAAATGTCTTAGATGTTTCTTATGCTTTAACAGGCGTGTGAAACGCTATTCTAAGAGCATCAGCTGGAGGCTCCTGGGGTCAATGGTACTAACTGCAGAGTTGTCTCACTCACCAACCGCACCGGCACATGCCAGCTATCAGTCCCCGACCCCACATCCACCCCAGAGAGCTTGGAGCCCCTTGCCTGGCAGCACACATCAAATCAACAAGACGGGCTATCCTATAGTGGGTGGAGCTAGCCCAGACCCTATCAGTCTCCCCACCCTCACTAGGGCATAGAAACCTAAGGTGTCCATTTAATATTTGATGGCGGCCAACTCAGCATTAGAAGAAATCGAACAAACTTCAGCCTCCTTCAAAATCACTCCCTATTGTTTCTACCCCCATGAAGAAATCCATTCAAGATCTCTCTCTCTCAAGAATCACCATGGGGAGCTGGCATGGTGGCACACACCTATAATCGTAGCACTCAAAAGGCGAAGTTAGGAAGACTACAAGTTCAAGGCCAGACTCTGTCTCAGATTCTTAAAAAATAAAAATGATTTAAAAATCATTTGTTGATTCCTGAACAATGGAGGGAGGTAGCACCTGGGGGGTCTAGCCCCTCCTGTGCACTGCCCTCTTTTCCTTCACCAAATGTCCTTCTGGAAGTCCTCCTTCCTCCCTAGGCTCTCTCCATCATCAACAGCCAGAGGAAGGGCCTGAGACTGGAGTCCTCTTCCCATCTTTAACTTACTTACGCAGGACTTCGTTGCTATGAGGCAGCCTCCCTCAAAAGGTAAGATTCCCACCTACTTGTCAAATAATAGATTTCCCCATCCACAACAACAACCATTTTAGAGAGCGTCTCTAAGAACATCAGAGAACTTTCAAAAACCTATCTAGAGAGTAGAAATTGTCTTACCAAATTTCAGTGTGGTGACATTTCAAATACTTAAAGTCAGAATCAATAAAATTACAGGGTTTCAGCATCCTAGGAACCATTCTAAGTTCCAAAGAAGGAAAATGCTTTTCCTGGGATTTGCATACGTTAGCCAACATCTGGAAAACATATGCAGCTTAATGACTACGGCGCACAGACACTTCAAAAATGCACTTGCATTTCAATAGTTTCTAATTAGTGGATGTGGGCCAAGCAAGAGCTCAGTTAAATATATTAGAAGCACAACTGTCTCTCGAGCCCATACAGCACTCCTAAGGTTAAAAAACAGGATATGATCTTTATTAGTCTGAGTCCAATTTCATACCTGGCTTTTTGGTAGCTTCACCAGTATGAAAACCTTCAATGAACGACAGAGAAAAGATCACAAACCACTCAATGACAGATGGTGATTCATCTCCTAGTAACATCGACCATCAGAAATATCTGGAAGTGAAATATCGGGATGCAGTAGATGACCAAGGGAGATTCTTGTGAGAAAAAAAATTCACATGCTAGACAATATATCAGCTGTGGGAATCATGTTTGCAACTTAATAAAAGTTACTGGTGATCTGGGCCAGAACAGAATCAGCTTACTATGGACAAGTGACTTCTTTGAATTCTTTGTTCAGATGAGGAAAAGAAGCCATACCTAAATAGAGACACCCCTATCCAGACATACAGTGCCCTCATTTGATGAGTATTTAGACCTTTGCTAATGGAATTCTCTTATGCAGGCGCTTACCTGGGAATAGGATATGCTCACTCCATCACTTCTAGTTTTCCACGTCATCAAGGACTGGCCTCTTGGAGATATGGACCCTTATTTAGTAAAGAGGATAGTTCTCCAGAGAAAGTGTCAGCCAATGCATAGCTAGTGACCTCCTTTCATTATGTAACGTTTTGTATTAGAAGACCCTTTTTCACAATGAATTATGACCCAACATATTTGTTCATCTGGTGTGTTTGTGGACCCTAGACAAACATCAATTGTTAATTCCCTATTTTCTCTTCAGTCCACTGAATAATAGAGCTGAAATGCTCCTTTCAATTAGACTTGTGCTAGATCTAAAGATCTGGCTTATGTGCTCATCACAATGGGCGCAATGAGAGGAACAATACCGTTGCTGGTGGCCCTGGCTGCCCAGACATAGGGGAGAATTCTTTATAACAAGTCTCAGATTGAATCTTTGTATGAGTGGATTCAATTCCTTTGAAGGAGGCAGAATCAGACATCAAAATACAATAAAAGGAACTTCTGGGCATAAAAACTCAGTAGTTGTGAAATATTTAACAAGAGCCAAGTATTGAATCTGGCCTTGGAATTCTGCTCCTATTGTGACCTGTTGGAGGTGACATGAATGCCAGGTTTTTATGAGCCAGAAAACAGAAGGTGGAGGTGAGATGAACTTCTTTGGGACGGTGGGGATGTCTTCATTCTCAGAACAATTCATCTTTAATTGTCCTGAGGATCCTAAAGCTGCATAGGTAAGATCAGCCCAAGTCTCTAATCTACAGAACAATGTTAAGTTAATATACAGGTTTGGACTAACCTTAGACACACTTCACGCTAAACTTCATATTTAAACATTGTTGCTGGAGGGCTTCTCTCCAGGTTCCACCAAGCCCCGCAGTCCCACAATCCACGTATAAAATAATCACTTAGATGCTTATATTACTTATAAACTGTATGGCCATGGCAGGCTTCTTGCTAACTGTTCTTATATCTTAAATTAACCCATTTCTATAAATCTATACCTTGCCACATCACTTGTGGCTTACCGGCGTCTTTACATGTTGCTTATCCTGGCAGTGGCTGCAGTGTCTCTCCCTCCTTCTTCCTGTTTCCCCAATTCTCCTCTCTCTTTGTCCCGCCTAGACTTCCTGTCTGATCACTGGCCATCAGTGTTTTATTTATATAGAGCAATATCCACAGCAAAACATGAACAGTATTAAAAAGTTATCCGTCAAAGACCCGAACTGGGACTGCCAAATTTAGCAAACAGCATAAGAAAGAACATCTTTAGATGACAGGGGTGGTATTTTTAGAGATCTATTTCACAACTGGATTGTTTTAGTTTTTAATAATGTGTAGCTCAAATTTTTAAAAAGCTTAATTTTCTTAAAAATATTGAGATTAAGGACTATGCTAATTAGCTTGATTTAATCATTCCACTTTACATAACATGGTGTCACTTTTGCTCCATATGTATATACCTATATACTATATATATACAATTATAATTTGTATATTTATAAAAAAAAACTTTCTATTCTGCTCTGGGAGTTAGAAATTGGGATGAATATGATCAAAGTACATTGTATGAAATTCTAAAAGACTAAATTTTCAAAATAGAATTTTTTTTCCAATAAGAAAACAATTATAGCCAGGCCTTAGTGACACACGCCCTTAATCCCAGTCCTTGGGAGGCAGGTGGATCTATGTGAGTTCAAGGCCAGCCTGGTCTACAAAGTGAGCTCCAGGACCACCATGACTGTTACACACAGAGAAATCTTGTCTAAAAAAAAAAATCATAAAAACAGAAATATACAGAATATCAGTTAAATTTGAATTTTGTGACAAAGGTTATATAATTTTGAGTTAGTACGTTCTGTGTAACACCTGGGACATGCTTATATTAAAAATATATTCATTCTTTATCTGAAATTCAGATTGAATTGGGCATCTTGTAATCCAGAAATACTATCAGCTCTCCACCTGCCGTCTACATCTGTATTCATAGATAAGAAACTGAATTTGAGCTAATTTATCTGCTTGCTGTCACCTGGAGACAGTGAGCACTGGAGCCAGCAGAGGGTCCCGCCCACAGGGAAAGCCTTGGTGGCTCCGCAGTCCCTACATGTGTGGTTATGCGTTTGCCTTTGTTAAATTCCCTGGAGTTAACAGAACACGAAACCAGTGCAGTTTGGGGTAGCCTCTGCAAAACAGCAAGGTCGCCTCTGTGGGAGCTTGTGCGCATCTCTGATGGGACTGCACTGACGGGAATGAATCCACACATCTGTCTGTCTAACATGGGAGACAAGAGGCCGCTGCTCGGGCCTGTAGGCTGAGAAGGGCAGATTTGGGGTGGTCACATTTGTTGTGCTCTGTTTGATATGTCCGCATAAATGTGTTTTAGAGTTTCACTCCTCACGAAAGAGTATAGCTCAGAAAGACACTCAATACTGCACTGAGGGAAACTCACTTTGCTTTTTTGAAGGTAATGATAAAACTACAAATATTTTGGCCTAATGCAGATAGGTAGATAGGTACACACAAAGGACATGGAATACCTCTGATTAAGCATTTATTTAAAAAGTTAGTTTACAGTGAAAGCCCGGCATAACTCAAGATCACATTCACATAATTTATTTCCAAATGCATGGGTTGTCTCTGAGGAAATTATCTATTTATACCCATGACATCTCTTGTGTATTCTGAGGGTTGCTTTTTTATTATTATTCATAGAATCCTTTTATTCCTTATTATGCATCAGGCACTCGGCAACTGCTTCTGAGAAAACCTGAAACTTAAATTCTTTAATCTAGACTTCAGGCCCCCTGTGTTTATCTTGAGGCAAAAAGACGTCACCTGAATTGCTTTCCTCACGGCCTGCCTGGCAATGCTGACACACAGCAGGTACCTTGAATGAGCCAGGAGGATCTGCTCCGCAAAGATTCATATGCTGTATGAGAAAACATGGTAACGTTTTAGCTCGGGCTTCAGAGCATCAATTTGAAGTAAAAGGTTTATATCATTTGAATCTCCAAAATCTGAGATCAGCCTCTGACATGGCTTGAGACTCCAGCTTCATGGTCTCGACCTGGCTGAGGTTTTCTCTGCACCCAGAAAGCCACAGATGTTTCAGGGTCAATTCAACTCTTCCAGCAGATTCTCCCACCAAAAAAAAAAAAAAAAAAAAGGAGGAGCAAGGTTCCCAGCAGCTCTCTTCCCCCAGATTTGTTTCTAATACCATTCTTTCACAGAAATAAACACGTTCCTTTCTCTGTAACATTCTAACTCTAAATACAATGACATATAAATTAAATGTAAGTTACTTCTCCAGTACATCGATGAGAACACCAAGATCACAGCTGCCATTCCTGGATGTATTGTTGGTATTCTCCAGAGAAGGGTAATACTAACGCCTTCACAAGAGACGAAGCAGCTAAGGAGACTCGGGGGTGCACCAGCTAATCAGCCCCATGTCTACAAGGTGAGCAATAGGGTGCTCACTACTGATGGGGGAGCTGGCTTCCCCAAGGTTACAGAATCAGGAAGCAATAATGCTAAGATTTGAACCCAGCTCTGATTAATTCCAAAGGCTCCGATTTTACCAATGCAGAGTGATTCTCCCAGCACTTTTTCCCAACTATTCCAAGAGCAGGTGGCATACAGCAGGCCATCACTGCCAGCGGCTAGCCATTCAGTACACATAGGCCAGATGGGTCTTAGCTTTGAAGGGCAGCAGACAATCCTGCCCTTTTATGTGATGGAAAACGCAAACATCAGAACAGGTCAATTTCTCTAGAAACTGTACGGGGACACACAGGAGTTAAGCTAGCACAGAAGCAGTAAGATTGTTATATAAAATTATAATATTTCATTGTTATATTCCAATTTCTGTTCTCCAGGTTTCTCTCCCTTGCTAAGTTAAACAGCAAGGTTAATGTCTCAGTAAGGTTCCCACTTCTCAAATGACCTTTATCCCAATTACCCCTCCGCGCAACACCTGCTGCAGAAAAATTAACCTTCAACACACCCCTCAAATGGGACTTTCTCTATAGATCCCTATCTGCCAAAAAAGCAAGCGCCTCCCACTCATCTTCCACTCTCGTATACAGTTGAGCAAGTTGGTTATGAAGTTAATCTGAGACAACAAATGAACCAATAATAGCCTGGAAAACAAAGAGCTAACTAACAAAGTCCCAAATATCAAATAGCATTGTTTTGGTACACTAATGAGTGGAACAATAAAACTATTAAGAAAGCCTGAATTAGACTCAATTGCATGGAAGAAATTTTGTATTTAATAAATATTTCAAATTTAGTATTTAATATTTAAATCAGCGAGAGAAAATTGACTTTTTAATAAGAAGCATTAGGTTACCTGGAGAGTTATATGCCAGAGAGATAAAACTAGATGCATTCGTCATACCACATACCAGAATATGTGCCAAGTAAATGATTTCAATGAAACCTTTTTAAAATGAAACTACACAAGAACGAGATGAAAATGGATGGCTTCCTCCACACTTGGGGTGGTTTTAATTAGTAAATTTTTATATCTGAAAATAAAGACACAAATACAGTGGGAAATTAGCAACTTATTTCATAGAGCTAATATCCTGATTTTTACACACATACATAAGCATGTGTCTATAAATTATATGTACACATAGTATGTGCCTGTACATGCACATATATATACAGAGAAAGAGAGACAGAGAAAGAGAGAGAGAGAGAGAGAGAGAGAGAGAGAGAGAGAGAGAGAGAATCCAATCAGATCGTAGAAAAAGCGGGCTAACCTTGGCCATCAGGAAAGATGTCCACACTCAGAGTAAAGGAAGTGAAAACCGTGAGTAGTGAAAAGCTTCCTGCTTCTGACAATGAGACTTCGCAGGTGCAGCATTCCCATCGGCCACCTGTGAGCAAGCACAGTGTCTCATTGGGGCTCTCCTTTGCATTTTTGCATTGGCAGCTTTATTGGGCATCTTTCACAGGCTTGTTCCCTGGTTGCATGTCTTCTGGAAAGACACAGAGGGGCAATGGAAATGCTGTATGTGTTGATTTGGGGGACAGTCACAGAGTTGTATGTGTTTCTATAAGCCTAACTATTGTACACTTAAAATTTACATTTGGTAAATGTAAACTACATGACAATAAAGCTTATTTCTAAAATTAAGCTGAGGTACTATTTCTTATTTGTGAGATAAATACAAATCAATTCATTAGAACTCAGTTTCTAAAACCCAACATGGGGTCACATAAATGAATGTGAGAATCACAGAAATTGTGGGAACAGTAAAGGGTTTCTGGGGGTGCAACGACCAAAACATTAATTCCAACTCCAAAACACAAGGCGGTCAAGATGTTTGCGCAGTGCTGGATGGCACCAGGAGACTTCCCTGTAGACTCTGTGAACACTCAGCATGAGCACTCTGTACCACACATGACACCGGACCACAAAACACCAACAGACACTGCCTGAAACACTTCTTATAAAATCATTAGGTTTAACCATGGGAAGGTCTTTTAATATTTT